AATAATCAAGAGCCAGCACAGAGACACGAGGTTGCAGATAAAACAGAATGGGAATATTACGCAGCTGCCGTGGATTCGCTGCTTGAGCCTCAACGAAGCGAGGGGACAATAAAACGGGACTTCATTTGTCCTTAATTATCAAAGGTAATTCCACAAATTTCACCAATAAAACCATTTAGATGCCCACCAGTCTGGGTTCAGTACTGGTATGGTTTGTTGTCTCTCTGAATTATTGAAGTGAAAATGATGGAAATGTAGGAAGTGAAAGTCCACTGGCCACAGTTTCTGTTCAGGAAACTTGTTTTTCATGGAAACTCATGAGGTCAGAAGGTCATTTGTCCTGAGTTGAATAATTTTGGCTTTCTTCTGCAGATGAAGTTTGGTATGAAACCTAACATCTACAATCACTCTGAAGGAAAATTTGTCATTTTTTTCTAGCTTTGTGACATTAGATGAAACTAAACATTTCCCTTTTTAGGTCAGTTCGGATTTCCAAAATTACTTCCTAAATTCACAAACAATCCTGAGACTAAAATAGCCCCTTTAGAAAGTTGTTGATAATGGTTTTTGTTTCTTTCCATCAGAGCCAAACGTATCATTAAACAGACCATCCAGTTGTGAGCCATTCATGACTAGATTAGTGTTGCTTTCCTGCATTGCCTTTGCTATTCTTATCCCTCCTCGTTTCCGTTTTTGTTAACTGGAGCTGTTAACTCCTGGTTTTTGTTCACCAGCAGTGCTACTTTATAGAGCTTAAAAAGCTACGAGGAATCCACACTTTGACCTCAGTGGCACCAGATTTAACCAAAGTCATTAAAGCACAAACACAAAAGAGCTTTAACTAAAGCAATTATTCTCATAAATGTTCTCAATCTCTCACAATTTCTGCCTATTCTGAACTGTAACCAGTGTTTTACAGTCTGGAGATGCACCATAGAAACACATGATTAATATTTAATGGAAAGCAGTAATTATCCTCCAGGCTGGAGCTGTTAACTCCACTTCAAATGTTCCTCCACACTGTTTCAGACTCATCATTTTCAGCCATAGTGAGGCAGAAGGCGTCGCTTACTGTCTCATTGCCTCCAAAGTATAAAAATGAGCTTCCTCCCCGGACATTGTTATGCTGTTTGCAGACACTCACTGTGAGGTAATGGGAGAAGATTAATTGGGATATCATGTTAGGTTTCATCTGATCAGACTTGTTGAGAAGAAGAAAAATGGCAGCATGTGGATGTCATATTTTTTCTTTGACAAAACATTTCTGATTAATCAAAGGCACAGGATGGTCTGCTGATTCTTAGAGGTTAAAAAAAGGAAATGTTCCCTGTCCTGACACAGCTGATCCCAAATTACAGTCACTAATTTGTGATCAGACTAGCTTAGCATGCACAGAAATGGAGAAAGGAGAGCCAAGAAAGCTGTAGGAATGCTGCTTAATGTTTTAAATCTCCGGCTTTGCAGCAAAATGTGTTGAAAACACAAAATATTCTGAGGTCAGATGCCCTCAAAAAAGTGAAACATGTCAGCTGTTCACCTTGTGTTAATATCTCACTTCGAGTTAACACATCAAAAATGTGTTTATTGTGTTTAATTCATTAATTCTAGTGAAGATAGCATGATTTTATCACATGTCAAACTAAAGAAATGATTTTTAAACGAAATTTAGTTAAGCGAATTAGCACACCGATACCTCTCTTGGCCATAAGGGGGCAGTGATGCAACAATAAAACTGCACGAAAAGAAAAACCAGTTTAAACCGAATTAGTCTGGATGTTCATCCAAAGACTACAGTTTGGGTTGTGCAACACCGTAAAAAGGAATCCAGTGATTTCCAACAAAGCACAAAAGACATAAGCATAAAGTGATAAACTTCACACCCTAAATGGACTTTGGTTCTGCACATCAGATAGATTACATTAAAAAAGTGTTGTTGTTTTTTCTTGCATTGTTGTTCAAGCTACTGAATATTTGTGTGTTTATTTGGACCAGGAGAGGTGTTACTGTGATGCGCTTCAGTGGAAAAGACTCGTAATTTCATAATCCTAATTTTCAGCCACTGTTTACTTTATGGTTTCTTCTCATGCATCATAACAACGCCGGTTTAGTTACATAAAAGTTGGGTAAAATTCGGTATGACCTTTCTGACTTTTAAAACTATATGATATGTAAACGATTTAGCACCCTATATGGACTTGGCACTAATCAGGAGCAGGTGAAAAGAATTGGGTCACTCTGCCGTAGAAATATGGGTCCAAAATGTGTGTGTGTGGATGTGTGTGTGGATGTGTGTGTGGATGTGTGTGGGCTATGTGATGTTCCCTCGCTGTGTGAATTAGCCTGCAGTGTAAAAGGCCACTCTTCATGCTGAGGCAGAGCTCTGGTGAACTGTGGCGAAAAATAATGTAAAACTGCGCCTGCCCAATCGCTCATTACTCACACAGATTGCAGCGGCCTTCACCTCTCACCCCATTTTCTACATCCTACCAGCACTTGTAACTCTCAGCTCCGGCTCGTCCGCTCTCCTCCTCATCCATCTCATCTGGCTGGAGATCCTCCGACTTCTGCTCCCCTGAAGAAGAACAGCACTTATTGATTGAAAAGACATCTGTTTGATTTACACGCTGAGGGTTTTATGTCTTTGTACCACAAAAATATGTTGCAGAGAGCGCCTGTGAATCATAATGAAGATGCTTCCATCCATTCTTTCATTTATCTTCTGATACTTATCTGTCCCACAGAGGGTTGTTGGTGAGCATCATGAGCAGAACTCTGACCTATCAGGAGTTATAAATCCACGTCACACAACTAAGCCCCTCCAGGATCTTACAATGTTTTAAAATTGCTCATTTTACTGGCATCTTGTTGCCTTCAAACTTGAAAAGAAATGCACATTTTCACGTTTATGTGCCTCCATTTGTGTCTCAATTGCGATGACTTAAAGTTTTCTGGTGTCTGGAAATTAAGTCAAGTCACCATCAACTGGCATGACTCGTTACCCAGCAACCCAAGCTTGAGCTCCAGCACATTTGGTCAGCTCGTTTGACTGCTGTATGAGCTGTACAATGGCTGCTGGAAAAGACACGTATTTTGTTGACGGAAACCATGTGCGAAATTCTTATTGGTTGTGCAGGAGGCTCCTCTAATACTTTTCAAAAATGTATGGTTGAATAATTGCACATCTGTTTGCAGCCATTTTCACATGTGACTGTTAGCGTTGAGTTGGGGGTGTGTAGCCAGCAGCAGATTATTTGGATTTAAAGTGATGAGACACCCTAACGCAGCTCATTGTGAACTCAAAATAAACCTGAGCACACTGAAATCTCATCGTCTAAGATTGACTTTGTGCAAAAAAATTTAAGAAATATATTTTGCATTTAGCCGGTAGGCCAATCCTAACCTGTCCAAGGAAGCAAAGTAATAGGTCATATGAAGGTCAAATAAAGTTTTATTTATGTCTTACAAAAAAGTTTAAATTGTTGCACATAAACTTCCCAAAAAGACAAGATTTCAACCATTAATATTTAAAGTACAAATAAAAATTTTAGGTAACTTCTTTAAATACTTACTTGTAATATTGAGACACATTATAGACATTAATTACATCCAGACTGGTGTTTTAAATTAGGAGTCACTCATCCTTGTTAATTAGTTTGTTAAATGTGTTTGTTTTGCTACTTAACTTTGTGGATCCTTCGTAAGCAGAAGAGGCGAAACTCATTTGTTGCACACAAAGTTTTTCACTGAGATATTAAATAATGACCTGCTGGCATCTCTCATTGTAAAGCTTACATTTGGTTGACTCATTACAAATGGCGCTGACAGCATTTTTCCTGCTACCTCAATTTATGAAAAATCCTGTTTGCAGCCGTTACTGTAAATCCAATTAGCGATGACACAAATCCACCACTAGGGGAGCTGCAGCTCCAGAAGTCAAAACTGTTTTTTTTTTCCGGGGAACTTAAAAAAAAAAAAAGATAAAAATAAAATAAAAATATTGTTCATAAAAAATATATGAATTAGATGGACTATAATATGCATTGATAGTATAAAAAGAAAAAATATATACATTAAACATTCATAGAGACACTATGTTCTCTGTGTATCGGGTCAATGATGCACTTTTAAATTGTGCAAAGGAAGAATAAAAAAAGAATAGAATATTTTAACTTTAAATGTAATGAATATTTCTAATACTATATTAATATTATGAAAAATAATTCAAAGACAAAAATTAAATATGAGTTACATTTAAGAAAGAGTAAATTATCAGGTTAATAAACATCTTTATTTAAAAATTAAATTGTAACATTTAATTTTTTATTATATTTTTTATCATACTTTGATATGATGTGAAATTTATATATAATTAATTTGTTAACAGTGATTTCAGATTGCTTGTGCAGTGAGTTATAAATCCTAAAAATATTTACAGAATATAGAATATTTTCAAACTCAATATTTTTAAAATATTTTGTCAGTACCACATAATACTATAATTTAATTTACATTTATATATATATGTAAAATAAGTATGTTAAACACCATGCAATATATTGATAGAACATTACATTAAAATATGAAATGACTTCAAATTACTTGAAATGAAATTCCTAAAAATTACATTCTACAATAATATATTCTTATTTTTTTTTTTTTTTGTACATTACAAATATATTTTTAAGTGGGTTTCAGGAGTCAATAAATATTAGCAGAAGGATTCAGATGAACGTAACCTGCTGTTTGCTACTTATGAGCGAATAAACATCGGCAAGTTCAGCATCCCTGCTGAAAGTCTCTGCTGCACACAGAGAAAAAAGCCTGATTAGCCTCATTCCTGCTCACATCAGCGCCGTCTTCTCTATTTTTCACCATCAGTCGCCTTGTTGTTCTGCAGACAGAGAGAAAGACCGAGAGAGAGAGAGAGAGAGAGAGAGAGAGAGAGAGAGAGAGAGAGAGAGAGAGAGAGAGAGAGGAGGGCGTTTGAGCTGCGGCTTCAGAGGAGGAGAGATGTTTATTCAGCTGCTGAATGAAGGAGAGGATGAACACACACAGAGGAACCTCTCGGTGAATCAATGAACGGAACCCGACCTGGACTCATTCTACTGCACAGAACCGGTGAGCAAGCGCAACCCCCCCAAAAACCCCGCGCATCTTTCTCTTCTTTCATGCTGTTAAATGAATATTGGCCACGCTCGATGGTGTGCGGATGCGTAAATGAGGAAGAAGAGCGCAGTGTTAGAGGGGACTGACTGCCTGACTGCCTGTCTGAGTGAGGGCAGCGCTGCCCTCAGGTGTGCGTGCGGCGCGGCAGAGCCCTACCCGGTCCGCGAAACGCCTTCATTACGGCTCCAATTAAGCGCGAAACCGGCGCGCAGTGTTTTTGGAGACAACGCAGTCGTGCGTAAGGCGATTTTCCTTTTGGTCCCGCACGGCACGCGTGAACAGGGACCGAGCATTTCACGGAGGGATGACTGGGGTCATGAACTCAGGCTGTCGAGTTGTTGTTGTTGTATATATTTAAATATTCTTTAATGATTTTGTAAACAAAGCTATTCACATTCCCAGGGATGTGTTCACGTTTGTGACGTCAATGTGGTTTATTGAGATTTCAACACAAAGTAAAATTATGAAGTGAAAGGAAATGATCAAGCTTTCTCTTTGGTTCTTATCATACATAAAAATCTTAGTAGTGTCTGCTTGTGTTCAACTGGTGGTGGATCTTTATTGTATCGTTTATCATTTATCACAATACATTTCTTTTTCATTTGATTGGTCATTATCACGATAAATTCCAATTAAATTCCAATTAATGATCCCTAGATATTTTTTTACTGGTTTTCTTCATTGTTTGTTAATAAAAGTGCATCAATAAATAATAAAATAGGATTAAATGCAGCGACTGTGCAGTTTAGTGACAGATAAAAAATTTTCTGTGTCTGTGCATTACAAATTGTTTTTCAAGAGCAGTACTTGTGTTTGTGAAGCTAACACAGTACCATGCATCCACAGCCATAGAGTTACATAAAAAAGAAGCAATTGTGATGTAACTTTACTTCTGTATGTCTGGAGATTTTTGTCCATTCTTCTTTACGAAACAGCAAAATCTCAGAAATGGTGGAAAGAGTGTTTGTGAGCATCAATTTTCAAGTCTTACAATAGATTTAGGTCTGGACTTTGACTAGACCAGTGGTTTTCACAGTGTGGGCTGCCACGTGGTTCAGCCTGATCATTTAAAATCAGAAATTTTTATTACACTTCTTTGTAAATGTAATGTTTTTTAATCAAGATAAAGTATTACTTCCTGCTCAAGAAAATCCCCACACCATGATGGTGCCACCACCATGTTTTACTCCACTGTTGGATTGTTTAGTTGATCTTGGCTGCTTCTCTGATCAGTGCTCTCCTGATCGGTTTGCAGGTCTGCATAGCAAAAAGCCCAGTGTTGATTGAACAGAGCTCTGAGATGTTCAAAGCTTAGAAACTTGTTTTATACCTTTACTCTGTTTTAACTGTCTCTCTGACTTCTCTCTGGTCTTCATGAAGTTTTTTGATCAACCTCTGAGGATAATCAGGAAAACTCTGAATGCAATTAGTGGCAGTGGATTTCATTTAGGGGCATCAGGGAAAAGGGGGTGGACACAAATGAAAGCCAGCCATTTTGGATGTTATTTCTTCAAAAGCCTGGAACTTTGACATCGTGTATTACTTTGTGTTGGTCTACCATCAAAACAAAAACAAAAACAAAACAAGAACAAAAAACACCCGGTAAAATCTGCGAAAGTTTTTGGTGTAATAAAATGTCAAAAAGTTAAAAGAAGTAGGAAATGTTTGCAAAGTCCTGCAGGCATGAGGAAGGTACCAGAGGTGTTATTTTGCATTTTCACCTCGATTCGGTTCAAGCAAATAAATGAGTTAGTAGCAGTAAATGTTCACATGACAAGATTTTATAATTGGTTTTCAGTACCTGACCGAAGACACATGACAATAGAGCAGATCATTAACAGGTTTGGTCCTGCAGTGTTTGGTGTTCAGCACACCACACATCGACGTCTTTGACATTTCAGATGGGAAAACATGAGTTCAGAGTAAACAAACAGTGCCGACAAGGAAGCAGTCCTGGCTAAAGTTTGTGGAGTTTAACAGAGAAAAGGCGTTAAAAAAAGATTGCTAACGTTCACCAGACTTTCTGGTTTTCTTTTCTGATTATCATGACAATCGGAGAATCTGTAGGATTGTTGGAAAATCAAAAAAATGGCATAATTATCTTACAGGCTTAATTGAAATCCCTGCAAACCGAATCAAGTCAAGCCAAACAGAGCAGAGAGAAAGCGGGTCTCTTGCTTTCTAAATATTTCCTGTCATGACAAACACAAAGCTATTCAGCGTTTTCACTCAGGTTTATTTGATGGCAGTGCGCTGCCGGCCCACGCCTCGTTGGATGTGTTCATGTTTATGGTGATTTTGATGGCAAAAGCTGAGACGTTGGACACATTGTGAGAACACATGGCCACATTATGGCGATGAATCACGAGTGATTGTTCAGCCAAGATGAGATGATAATAGAAATTTGGATGATGTCAGTTTATGCTTGATGATGATTACAGGAACTTTCTCCAGCTATTATCAATTATTAACCTCCAAAAAATATGTCACTAATTTAATAATTCAGGGACCCAATCTGTCTTGGCGAATGTGGGCTACGGATGAATTTGCATATTTAAAATAAAAGCGGCCTCCATCAACTGCGATAAGCCTCTGTTTTCCACAGATTTGGTTCTGCCAAACCTGCTGTTCTTATGAGCGGAATTTTACTGACCACAGCTGTGAATGTAGGCAACACCTGCAGGGTTTTAGAGAAGGCTGAACGGAGTGAGTTCAAATTAATTTTATTGGCATTAGTCCACTGGGTGCAGAATCACTGAGTAAAAACCTTGTGGATTTATCCATACATCCATATGGAGCTGTGGTTAGCTGTGGAGATGTGATTGTGTTGCTGGAAACATCATCATTAAAAGGGACCCGTTATAGAAACATTCTAATTTTGCATGTTTTTACATTTTCATTTGGATTTCTACTGCTTCTAAAAACAGTCTAAGCACTAAAAAAACCCACCCAGTTATATTTTGGAAATAAGTTCATGTTTTTTTGGTGTTTCAAGAACCTCCCGATTGTTGAGTCACAATAGTCGGGCCCTACGCTGTTACCTAGCAACCCCAGTGGTGTTCCAGCACGTTTGTTCAGCTGGTTTTACTGCTGTATGTGGTGTACAATGGCTGCGAGAAAAGACAAATCTCTTGTTGATTTACTACCCAGAAACTACTAGCTGCATTTTTGTTGGCTGTGCAGTAGGCTCCACTTCTGCTTTTCAAAGGTGTACAGTCATATAATTGCCTATCGGATTGCAGATATTTTCATGTGCAAGTGTAAATGTTGAGTTGGGGGCGTGGCCAACAGCAGATTATTTGGTTTTAAAGTGGCAAGAGGCTCTAAAACAGCTCACTCTGAAAGAAACTCTAAATCTCTCATTATCTAAGAAGAATTTAGTGCAAAAAATGTTATGGCCATGTTTTATATCACTGATAGATATAAAACCTGTTCAGGGAAGCACAATAAGTCACCTTTAATATTTATCCTAACTGTCATGGTCGTCCCTCTGCCTCTTCCTGTGTATTTTTTGTGTACAATCGACACCCAGAGTCTCTGTCTTCCTCTGTTATTGTGCCAAAAATAAACACAACACTGTCTTCTGCCTTCCCTGCTTGTTTGCACTCTCTTTGCCTTGCGACTGTATCCTCGTCTAATCCATTAAGTCCTCCAACGACACGCCGGATTCCCTGCTGCAGAAGGTGGTAACCCACAACCCGGCCCGCTATTCTGGTCCTGGATAATCTGGTTATGTGTTTCGCTGGCTCCAGCCGTCGCTTGTTACTAGTTACTGAGCGCTGCGTCTGCTGGAAGCGACAGGAAATACCTGGCTGTAATCCTCCTCTCTCCTCTATGTGACACTGTATGTGTGGGTGTGCGTGCGTGCGTTGCTCCGTGCGTGTGTGTGTGTGTGTGTGTGGGGTGTGTGTGTGTGTGTGTGTGGTAAATGCTTGCAGTGTTGGAGGAATGGTTAGCTGTGAAGACGCCATTGTGTTGTAAACTGTTATGCAAAAGAGGCTTGTGTGTAAAATGAAGACAAGGAATTGGGAGAAATCGAAAAAGCATGGAGGGAAGAAGCCATGAGATAATAAGAAATGCAAATATGTAAGAGCAAACAGAAGAAGACGTTGATAGGGAACCGGTTTGTGAGGTCGGTCGGTCCGACTTCTTTTCCCACGTGAAATATTCTGAGGAAAGTTTACATTTTTTATTGGGAAATCTACCGCAAACTATCAAAACATTAGGATTAGTGGGCATTCATGATGAATGCAGGTGTTTCTTTTGCTGCGTTTCTACCATGATGGGCTTTGACTAGACCATGGGTGTAAAGCTCCAGTACTCAAAGACTGGAGGCCTGCTAGGTTTTAGATCCTCACAGCTGTGTTGGATCTGCTTCCATCCATCCGTCCGTCCATCCATCCGTCCATTCATGCATCCATCCAGTTTTTAAACACTGGCAGAACTTGGGAAATTTGAGTTTATAATATGGACATTCTTCTCATAAGTGTTAATTAGAAGTGCTTCAATAGTTTGATGGCTGAGAATCAGCCAATTGTGATTTCTGCAGAGCAGGAACTAAACAAACTGCTGAATATCACACTGAGTCCTTCAGATTGGTTCATCATGAGCTGCCTCATCCTTCCAAGTCCTAGAAATCGCTCTGTTTGGCAACAAATTGGATGAAAGTAGCACTGAGGTGATGCTTGAGAAGCGACAAGAAAAGGAGAGGAATGAAATGTTTCATGTGGCTGAGCCGACCTGCTCGGCCCCGTGAGAGACATAAAGGTGCTTAAAGGTTAGCACTCCTCAAATTTATAGATGGCTTCAGTGCAGAGAGAGTAATAATTGATTTATTCCCAGGGAATGTGGCTTTATTTAAGAGTGGAAGGAGGAAAAATATATTGACCAAAGTCTGTAAGCGTCTCCAACACTTTCTACTGCTTTATCAGGCTTTCCTGAGCATATTTTAT